TTTACAGATGTTCATCAGGTCCCCCCTCAGCCTTCTCTTGTGAAGGCTGAACAGTTTCAGGTCCAGCAGTCTTTCATTGTAGGATCTGCCCTGTTGTCCCCTGATCATGCGGGTGGCCCTCCTCTGGACCTTCTCCATGTTGTCCACATCTCTCCTGAAGTGCGGCGCCCAGAACTGGACGCAGTACTCCAGCTGCGGCCTGACCGGTGCTGCATAGAGGGGGAGGATCACCTCCTTGGACCTGCTCGAGATGCATCTGTGGATGCACGACAAGGTGCGGTTGGCCTTCCTGACTGCGTCCCCAGACTGCCGGCCCATGTTCATCTTGGAGACAGTCATGACTCCAAGATCCTTTTCTGCCTCTGTGCTGATGAGAAGGGAGTTCCCCAGCCTTTGAATCAATTTGGACCTTTAAATTGGTACCCTGATTCGATTCGGATACAGAGATTCGGCTGCCGAATCGGGCCGAATCTCCTCCGAATTGAATTACCACCCGAAACTTCATGCAGCCCTAGTACTTGGGTTTGGATGTACAAAAAGACTGGAAACTGCTGATCCGCTCCAGCTGACTTTAGTGGGAGATGCCCATGTTTGCATTTCTGAAGATGAGGCCACTGCTGTGTTTTCAATACGCAGTTTCTCATCTAAAACAAACCCACATGCAGGGAAACCTCCTTCCCCCTTCGTCACAGAGAGTTCTTCAGAAAGCCATTCCTTGGCAACAGTCTTTCTCCTAACGCAGCGCATGGTTTTTGGAACCAATTGCTTGTTCTTACTTTGTGAATATTCCTCTCCCATTGGAGGTGGGTGGTCTTCATCCCAGTCCACGGTGTCTTCATCTGTCAATACTACAATGTGGCATTCACGTTCTCCTTTCTTGGCACTGTCCACCATGATAGGCAGAATTAACTCTTCCAGGAAGCTATCAAACTGCTTGTGAGCACCATCATTGGAGAGTTCATGCAACAAAGCACCTAGATGGAGGTAAGTCAAATCAAAATCCTTCACCGAACTAGAAGAACTTAGCAATTTATTTATGTTTTATGCCAAGCTGATGCTGCCAAGCTAAAATGGGACCTGAGCTTTGGCAGGTTTCAGATGCATCTTATGGAATCAAATAAAAAAACTTGCCTTCCTCTAGCACCGTGGTTCTCAACCAGGGTGCCATGGATCCTTTGAAGGGTGTTGGGATGTGTGAGGCAGTAAGTGAAGTGTGAGGAGATAAGCAGATAAATGCAACCTCAGGCTTGTCCCTGCCTGGCCAGTCCCATACTTCTAATGCCCAATTCCTCTGCAAGCAGTGAGCACTGTGGTGTATAAATTAGTTTTTTTTTAAATGGGGTGCCACTACATTCACAAAAGCTATGGAGGGGAGCACAAGTCTAAAGTGTTGGAGAGCCGTTTCCCACGCACTTTGTCTGATGCTCTTAAATACCCGATGAACGTGAGTGAATCCAGCCCCAGAAACTCCCTGCAAAGTAACTATTTCCCCCATTTTGCAGATGTGAAACTGCAGATGGGGAGCTGGGGGGGAAAGGGTGGGAATCAACATCGTGTGTCAGAAATATGAGGCTCTTAGTGAAAATTTCTATTTAGGAACCCAAGAGCTGCTAGCCTAATTGCCACAGGTCCTGGGCATACACAACTCTAATCCCCCTGGTGGCAATGAATATTTAGGCGACTTATAAATATACCTACTCAATACAGTTAGGACAGACTCCTGTTACCTTCGGTGCCCCAAAATGGCACTTACCCAGCTGTGTTAGTGGTGTTTATGACAACCACTGCTTGTGATCCTGTTACTCCTGCTATGTGGATATGTGAGCATGTGTACTAGGCACATGCACCAAGCTATGCACTGGCCGGGCAGGTACATGGCTACACACACACACGTATTTGGTGCAAGTCCTAAGAACAGCCACACTGTGTCAGGCCAAGGGTTTATCTAGCCTAGTCTCCTGTCTTTGACACTGGCAGAAGTGGAGGCTATACAGGGAGAGCACCAAACCGGGTATCTGTAGAGTGATCTATCCCCCATTTCAATACCCTTTCTGGCATCCACCATTTATTGGCTTAGCAAAGTCAGAGAAAACATCTCTAACCATTCTGTACAATATCCATGAATATATCCAGTCCCTTTTTGGACCTAGCCATGGTGTTTGCCTCCACCACAACCTGTGGCAAGAAGCCAGGGGGATGGTCTTAGGGTACTTGCCCAAGAAGCAGGAAACTCAGGTTCTAGGCCCTTCTTATACAGAGGGGGCTTGAAGTTGGATCTCTCCAGTTTCCCAGCACAGTACTCAAACCACCAGGGCACAGGCGAGGCATCAGTCAAGTCCCTTCCTCTGGATGGTAAGCCATGGCCACTTGCATTTAATATTCATTGGGGGAAACGGATGGAAAGCAGTGTAGGGGGAGTTTCTGCCTCAATGAGAAGCAAGGACTCAGGCTGGAACCTAGAGGCTGTTTCCAGTCAGAGCACCATGAGCCACTGCCCTCTTTAGCCTGTTCTCTTCCTCCTGGCCCCAAATATCTCCCTTTCTTGGTTCCCCAGGGGTCCAGCTTCAAACGCCGCACTGGAGAAGGCCCCAGGTATGGGAGCCAGAGCACTGTGCTGAGTCCTGTTTCCTGGGCAACTACCCTAAGCATCCTGCTACAGGAACTAAAACAGAGGAGGAACCTCTTTCATCCTACTCTTGACCATCTACAACCCAGTGATTTGCACATGTACCTTGTGTGTGCATACGTAGCCACATACCTGCCTGGCCAGAGCCTAGGTGCAACCCAGTAGTATGCTTCTGTGTCCACAAGGAATGAGTAATGGGAGAATGAAAGAATCACAAAACGTAAGTGTGAAAAACACCACTTCTGCATCAGGAAAACTGGCACTGAAGTGCACAAAGTAACAATGCCACCCACGCAGCAGGAACTTCCTTTGCAGCACCTGTGCTTGAGAAGTCTGGACCAAGTGGCTTGTCCATGCTCACAGAACAAGTCACTAGGAAATCAAAGAATAGAAGCTGCAAGTTCCCCCTTCCTCTTTCTAGCCCCACCACCACCTTGCTATTTCATTGATCATGTACTTAACTGTATGCTATATCTGCAACAAGAGTGCCCATCCAAAGGCCGTATGCACCTCGGATCACTTCCTTAACAACCTGCCTCTATCCTCCAGCTGGCAGCGTTAGCCAAACCAAAAAAATAAGATGAGCTTTAAATTGGATGAAATGTAAATGTTAAGATCATTACAAGGAACATTTTTAAGAGCCCAGATCCAGTCAATGCAGTAAAAAGCATAATGGATTCTTATGAATTCTTAATGTAAACTTAATCTGTGCATCACTTCCAGCAATAGCCTTTCAGCATGTCAATTCTGCAGTCGTTCCATTTTTTCTTTGAGTTGTGAACACTGCAAAGCTTGGGTTTTGCAGGACATTAAAGCTCTGTCCCTGGTTCAGCAAAGCAATTAAGAACAGGCTTAGCTTTAAGCATGCAAATAGTCCCAGGGGAGTAAACAGGACTGATCATATGCTTAACATACAACACTTCATAACGAGCTTTGCCCAGTCAGGGCCAGACTGCTGCTCAGCACATTTCAGGTCCGAGCCCCACCAGACAGAGCTCTCACTTACTGAGGTCTTGACATTTGATCGTGTTAAAGTCAAAGTTGATACAGAGGTAATCGCAAGTGTCTCTGAGATCAGGAATAGATATCCCATCTGGACAGTTAATGGTTCCAGTTTTGTAGTAATCCTGCAAATAAAAGAAGGAAAAAGATGGTGTTTGGAAATGTTTTAGAAAAGTCTATTTCGTGTTCTGTCAGCCAGTGCTCATGCGCAACATCCTAAGCTATGAGAAAAACAGGTGAATGAAGCAGTTTTGCCACATTAAAAAGAATTATTCATGCCATTTACGGAGGCAGAAATAGGGTGAGAGTAGAGCCGAGAAGCGCAAACGGTGTCAAGTGAGGAGAGAGAGCTGGCAACACAAGAAGCAAAAAGATTCCACGTTGATTCATGTGAGAGAGGGGAAATGATCAGCTGTAATCACAATGTAAGATTTTTAAAGCGAGTGGATGGGAAGGCAGCTCTGCTTTGGAAGCATTACAAAGGGTTGTTTCTACTGCTAGACATGTCTCCTCACCAGGACGGTATGAAACACGGTGGAGCTGATTCCTTCTGCAATTTCATATTCTCCCTTTTCATTTGGCCGCGTGAAGTTATATTCTCTTCCTGGTCCAAACATTCTGGAATAGAGATGCACAAAATATGTACAAGCGCATTCAATAAAGCCATAATACAAGCCCTCACCGGGGCACGGCTATAACTCTTATAGTGCAGGCGATGGCTGGTAATCCCATACTTCGGGACTTTTGCTGCTCACCAGTTGGGGCTAGGAAGAACTTTTTCTCTCCCTGCCCACCCCATGAATGCTACTTGTTTCTGGGGTTTTTTCCACCTCCATCCAAAGCACTGGGATGTTAGCCACATCTAAGGCTGAGGTTTTTGACTGGGCTGTGTTGCTGATGGTACCCAAAGGTTCCTGGCTAGAGGCTATGGTCAAGATGTTTTTTTCCCATTGATCAGATCGGTTTGAACTGTGGGGCTTTTTGGCTTTCCTCTCTTGCATAGGTCATATGAAGGACAAGGGCTTAGTTTGTCAGCAGCTTGGCAGTAATTGTCCATGTGCTTGCTCTTACCCCCCACTAAATGAAAGCTAAACCACAGCACTTCAGGGGAGGCGAGGGGTTACCATAAGTTTTGCTTTCATTTACCAAGGGGTAAGAGCGTGCATGGCAGCAATTATTGAAGAGCTGCAGATGATCCATATAGTTTTTTGGTGCCTGCAAGTGTGAACACTTCCAGTGGAGGAGAATGCAAGTGGCAGCTGGATGTGCATCTCTCTGGGATGGTTCAAGGACAGCAAATCCTACAGCAGTGCAGGGGGGCCTAATCATCTTCTCCTCGCATGTGCTTCTAGAATCTCTGCTACCTTATCCAAAAAACAGAGCCCTGGTTGCACAGCACCCTGGGATGCTGCTTCAGCGTTGGTTCAGATAGAAAACCACTGTCAGCTGCTTACTAGCCTTCCTTCCCATCTATCTATGTGTCTCCCAGCCAATGTCCATGTCAGCTCTGAGCCGGCTTGATCCTGCTTAGCTGGTGTGATCTGACAGGATCAGAGCACAAGCTATGAAGTTCAGTTCCCTTGCAGAAAGGGCCCAAACCATTTGAAACCTCTTGAAAGTTACCAAAATCACCTACCTTCCCAGCATGGTGTCTGGATGTGCTGTGAAAATCTGTGGATTCACAACAAATCGAGTGCCATCTACAACTAGAGTCACTTTTTCGGGGGCCTGCATCTGTAAATTGTTGGAGCCTGCAGTGCTGCTCCCATACCGTTCTTGGGAAGTGAAATGTTCTGGCTGTCTTTTACTGCTGTCCTGGAAATTAGAGCCACTTGCGTCCTCAGGAGTGGCTAACAGGTTGCTGACCTGGAGACTTGCTGGGTGAGACACATACTTGAAATCTGTGTTTACACAAAACAGAGACAAACAAATATTGGGACAATGAAACCTTATTTGCTGGATAGCCTCCCTGAATATTAAACGTGACAACTCAGCAGGAACACTTTGGGGCAGGTAGGAAGTAGGAGATGCTGGTCTAGATGGACGTGGTGGTGGTTCAAAAGAAAGTCCGAGTACGGAAAAGCACCTGGCAATACACTGTGGGTGTGTCTACACGAGATGCCTTAACATGCAGCGGACTGTTCCACTGAGCATTAGCATGTCACAGTAAAAACCATGCTAATGCGCAGTAGAATTAGTTTACTGTGCATTAAGCACCACAAAAAGTCCACCTTTGCTACTGCATGTTAGCACAACTATTGCGCCTTTATCTAGTACCTCACATAAGAGGTACTAAACTTAATGCACTGTAGCAAAGGCACACTGATGAATGTGTAGACGCACCCTTTGTAATTTAACACTGAACTGTAACTTCATTGGGCCTGATTCTGTTGGATTCAGATCCAAGCTTCCCGGAGCCCTCAATCCAACTCCATTTCACATTGCTTAAGTGAACAGAATCAAGGACTGAAGAAATTAGAAGGGGGTAGGAGAAACTATATCAGCTGGGTCCCATCTTTAACAGTCATTCAGAGGAACCAACACAGACTTTTGCTGGCTTAACAAGAGAGGTGGAGCAGAGTTATACCATGCACGTTTGAGGATGGTTTGAGATGTCACTGGGGATAGCGCATGCTGAGAAAGGGCAGGCTCCTGCACAGGTCTCATTTAGTTGCTCTCTCATGGCATGAAAGGTAAAGGTACAGCATAAATCCAGTAGCTGGCACCAGTGAATCCTTCAGTGGTGGGGAGACTAGAGAGGACAGAGTTTTTATGGTCTTGTGGGCCATAAAAGGACCCTCACATGACTGTTCCCAGGGAACATTGTATGTCCTAGGCCCAGCCTTGTGAGGAAAGGCATTAAACAAGGGAGGCTTCTGTTAAGAATGGGACAGAATAGGTTTGGCAAATGAACAAGGCTGGTTTCAATCAAAGGCTGCTTCTACACTGAGATACACTACACGTACGTGAGATGGAAGCACTTGTTCAGCAAGAGTATAAAGGCTTGGAGAAACAAATAATTAGAGTGGGAATATTTGCCACTAGTAAGAAATATTTGGGGACAAATGCAAAATATGGGACTGACTTTGTGAGAGGCTGAATACCCTCAGCACTAAGTGAAGTCAAATTAGGTGTTGAGAGCACACAGCATCTTACAGCCTCTGGACCATTATTTTATAAGTATTAACCAAGGCAGGGAATGCTCATTTTTAATGAGGGTTGTATTCTTAAATATATTACATTGGGGATGTACATATGACTGCCAGGCAGACAACAAAGGTTGGGGGCTCTTTTGGTGAAATCTAGTGAATCCCCTGTTGGGTTTGAAGAGGGGAACTTGTCAATGCTGCAAGACCTTGGCACAGTCCTTCTCTCTCTCATACTAGCCTGGGTAACATGCACATGGTCAGTTATTTGCACTCTCAAAGTAAAAAGATATGCATTTTGTATACCTCAGAGTGGAGGACATTTAGAAAACACGCCCAATGTGCCTTCTGGATTTGTTTAGAAACCAAAGGCCCTGCAAAACCAACACTCTCCAAGTTAAATGTTATAAAGTCAATGCACTCATCATCCTTACCATCATTCCTGGGACCTGCAAAAGTGCTAGGACTTTGGCTGCCTAGGGTCAGGCTACTTTCCTCTAGCTCATGGACTGGAATGGTGATGCTTTCTGCAGGGTGACTGCACTCCTGACTGCTTGGCTGGTCGGTGCCCCCAGCACAGTTAATATTCATGCTGGATCTCCGTGACGCAAGCTGACCGCGTTTCCTCAGAGAGGTACTATAAGAGAGAATCACATTAGTGTTAGAAGAAACCTCAGACCTCAGTTCAACTCATCTCTACCTATGGGTGAATCTAGAGCTTATGGAAGCCCATGAGAATCTTCTCCGTGTCTTCAGAGCTCTTCAGATGAGTCCCCCAGAGCAGATATATATCCTCTCATCCACCCACGGTATTTCAGATCTTGCATGGGTGGTGTCTCCATGACCTTCCCTGGTAGATGTTCTGTTGTAGAAGTTAGGAAGCTTGTCCTGAACCTAGTCTATCTTCTGATTTACCTTTTTTGATCGTTGGCCAGGGTCCCAACTCTCTCTACTTTGGCATCCCCTTCCCTAACCAAGTTCCCTTTCACTGCCAGATATTTCTTATCCCATTCCTACCAGCGTGAGCTTCCTGCTCCCTGCCTTTTCCCTAGTCTGACATGTCTTCTCCACGCTGGTGCCCAGCCTGGATGAATGCCCCCAAATCAGTCACTGTAGGGAAGAAAGGTACTGGGGGAGTACAGGCTCTAGGGGCTGCATGACAGAGGAGGAGAGACACCTGGAGATCCAGCGTTGGGAAGTCTCAATAGCTTCAAATGCTCCCTCCTATAAGCATGGTGTCCCCCCCAAATACTTTAAAACCCTCCTGTAGCTTCCATCATGAAACAGAGCGTGCCACTGAAGGGATTCTCTCCCTTCCTAAAGTTATTTCCTCACAATGTCACATGGTGTTAAATCATCCATCCCCAAGTTCCCACGGCTAAGTTCCTTTAAACCTTCGCACATCAGGCAGTCCAGCCCCTTTAAAGTTGTCCCATTTCCTCTCTTCTTTCTCCATTGCTCTTACATTCTTCAGCTGTTTTGCCCTCTTCTTTGTTGGCACCTTCATCCATGCAAAACCCCAAAGAAGAAACAATCAGTCCTCTTTACTTTGTGCTTTAGTTTACCCTTTGCTCCTTCCAGTACCTCCTTCCTTCCCCCCTATGCCGACGGCCTTGCTAATGGAGTTTGCACAATTTCCTGTGCCAGAATAATTATTCCACATATAATTTTTGTTTGAATCCAGCTCCAGGTTCTGTAAAGCCTGACATAACTTTTACAAGGCTACAGAAAAGGTGACTAAACAATGTTAGATAACAAAGCAATAAATAGTCATCAGGGAGATTTTCAGTCATGTCATGCCAAGGCTAATGGCCGTAAGGAGCAATCCAGAGTGTTAAGATTGTCCTTACTGTAAGTGCAAGTGCTGCATTCCTAATTAAAATTGACAATTAATTCTTTTCTAAAAGACGTGCTAATTTAGCCATGTTTTTATTTCTGAATAGTTTTAGAAAAAGACTTCATCAAACAAACATACCTTGCCAGGATCATTTGATCTCAGCAGTATTCCTGCCCAGAGCAGGGGAGTTGGACTCGATGATCTTTCAAGGTCCCTCCCAGCCCTTCGTTTCTATGATCTGAATTTCCATGCTCAAAGTCAAGCAATGCTCTTTCCATTTGTTCTGGCCCGTGTTATCTACTGTATATGTATGCTACAGAGACCTTGGAGCCACACAGAATCTCCCTAGAGCAAGGTGAATCAGAGACCTGATTCATAAAGGCATGTCATAAAAGAAAAGGATGTTACCACGTGGCTAGAAGCTACGGTGAAATTGAATCTGACCCAGATATTACAACTTCAGCTGCTGAATGTACTTTTCATAAGCAACTGGCTTTGACACTTTTATTCCTCAATTTTTCTGTTTAATGATGCAGCACTGGTGAAAGGCACTGGACAGAGAGCCCTGGAGACAGCAGGAGATGCATACCCCTCGATCCTGGGGCTCTTACGGGCACTGGGCCTGGTTTTTCCCATTGCAATTAAGAGTGATCAACCCTCCTGAAAATCAGGTTTGCTATGAATAATGCTAACTGGTGCTTCCACTAGGGCAATGCAATCCCCTTCTGTCACCTCCTCACAGGCATGGCTGAATCCCCGCTTTGGTGCATTAAACGTAAACGGGCATAAGAGTGAGAGCTGTAGACCATGATTACATTTGGGCAGCACAGCAAAGCCTGGTAACCAGTCGTTTAACGTGACCATCCCATTACGATGAATGCAATCCTATATGGAAACGGATTCTTAAGACCACATAAAAAGGCTATATTCAAACCTGTCCAGCTCATTAAGGTCCTGACTCCCTTTCATGCCTAAGATCAAGGTGAGCTACCTTAGTCCTTACCATGGCGGTAATGAACATATAATAATAATTTACACTTTTCATCTTCAAAGCTTTTTACAGATATTTAGAGGATTCGTTCGTTAACAACCTTGTAAAGGGCTGTGCAGAATGTTTTTTAAATGAGAGAAAATGGAGGCAAAGAATAAGGACATCTTTTTTTTTTTTTTAAATTAGACATTGAATTTGAGTGCCCGGCTTCAAATGGCTTGGGTGGAGGGTTTGATTTTCAGAGGGTCTACAAGTCCCACTGACTTCAACTCTCTTCTTGGGCACTGAGCACTTCTGGAAAAAAACAAAAAACAAAAAAAAAACAGGCCCTGGGTGTCAAGGTGAGCCTCCAAATTTGGTCACAGCTTTGAGAAAACAAGCCTGACTTTCAAGACTAAGTCCAGGCCAGAGCCAAAATGAAAAGTCAGATCTGTCTCCCAACATTGTGTTTCATTTGGTTGGGAACATTCAGGCACAAGAAACAGGCAACAGAAAAAAGTCTTACAATATTAAAGAATGAATCCAACATGAGAAAAACCAGGCTGGTACCAAGGTTGGAAGGTGCAAGGGGATCTGCTGTGATTTTTTGAGGAACGAGGTTGTGAGATGGTACAAGGGCAGCTCTACAGGGTACATGGACTTGCTGTTTTTAAATGGAGTATTAATGAGTATATTCATGATAAACGTCCAGCAAAAAAGTTCATATTTAATACCATGCTATGAATATGTAAAGAGGCAAGGATTTTTGTGGCTGATCTCTTTTATTGGATCAACTGAATGGCTGGGAGGGCTACAGATAAGCTTTTCAGTACTATGTGATCTGAGCAGATCCAGACACAGGCGTGGGTGAACTGGGTGACTGCCTGGACGGAAAGGGATCCCGAAAATGGTAATTTTTTTTTCCGTTGTCCGGTTATTATTATCATTATCTCTGATGAAGGGGGGCTCGATGCTAAAAGTGTGTCCGGGGCCACCAGGAGTCTGGGTACAGTACTGGACCTGAGGAAAGGTACCTCATCTTTGAAAGCTTGCCTATATCCCCCCCACAAAAATCCTTGCCTTTCACACGTTTCCTGGGTCATCATGGCTACAACACCACACCAACACTACCAGGAGTAGGTAAACTAATTAAAAAAAAAAAAAGGACCAGGGCAGGCTTGGCAATAATATCTCGTTTTTATGGAGATATTAAATCCTTAGTTCCTATCCCCATACACACTTCATTTAGATGTCTATTAAAACAACGACGGCAACAACACCAACAGTGGCTACTACAAATCGGTAGCTTACATCATTAGGTTTACAAAATCCAGAATTAATGGAAATGGTCTCATTAATTAAAATGAGCAATTTTCATTAATATTCTAAACCTCTTCCTCCAATGCTTAACAACACACATGGGTGCGTTGTGCTTTGGCATGACAGCAGAAACATTAGAAGGGCCTGAAGACCATATAACCAGGCAGCTAGTCTAATTTCATCATGCTTGTTGGCTGGGACCAGCGAAAAAGGAAGCAATCACAAATAGTACTGAGTGAATCAGGTATTTGACATTTTTCCAATCTTACTAATCTCGAGCATAAGCTAGGTGGCCTACATAAAAACCCAAATTACTTATTTTTAAGGCGACGGCATCCCTCTAAATCCACACAGACGTTCCCGTGCAGAATGATGCTGGGAACCATGAGTAAGCAGGAAACGTGCAGTCAGAATGGGTGTGCGCCTGACCTAGTTCTCCGGCATATACTAATGTGGGACAAGAATGTAAGCCCAGTGTAATTGCATGCTTTTCAAAAGGTTTATCGGCAGCTTTAATGTCCTGAGAATGTGCCAAAGGACTCTCTTTCAAAATGAAAGGAAGCAAAATGCTTAGTGATGCCTTAACGATCCCAGCAGAGCCAGGAAAAAGGAGCTCTCCCATGTGGCTAAGATAAATAATGAAAAACATTTCCTGTACATAGCGAAGAGCACATGGGAAGAAGCAGTACTGAGACCAATTCTGGTTAATCTGTAGCTATATATAGGAAGGAAGAAAGCAGTGCATGTGATGGAGTCGGCTTCAGATGTAATGCCAGGGCAATGCCAGGCACAAGGGCATCTCTGAATATGCTATGGAGGTCCAAAGAGGGTGGGAAGGGTGCGACTGTGCCCCCTCCACACTGTCCTGCAGAGCTACTTGCCCTTATGAGTGAGAGGCGATCTAGCACATGATGTATCTGCTGTCCCTGTGTGCTGGAGTGCTATGGGAAGAAGCCAGCCTCAAGCATGTGGCGTTCATGTTAGGAGTCTCCCCGAGTCTGTGGCTTCAGCCCAGGGTTGTCCTTACATAGCTCCCAAAGAGTGGAGGCACGTGACACCAGCACCAACGCCTTCTGCCTTCTTCTGTAGTATGGGACACGGTTAACTTCTAGGAACATCTAGGCATGTGCTGCTTGACTTTCCCTGGCACTGCAGGGGCCTGAGGTGCTGACAGCGCTGTTGATCTCTCCTGTGCACACTGTAGCTTGATAGTTTCAGTCTTTTTTTTTTTTTTTTTTT